TTATTTTAATGAGATGTTTTAGTTTTCTAAACTAGGCTAAACACTACAGACTTCTGTTCTGAATAATGCGACGAGGGTAACCTAAAAAGTTTGAAAGTGTGTTTTAAAATTACCATAATACGACATGCTTAGCATTTTCAGTTAATATGAAATATTAAAGGAAATATGCAATTTAAGCTCAGTTGATTATTAAATCAACTGAAATAAAAAAATTTAAGAAATATTTAAGATCAGCGAATAGAAACATTTTTAAAACTTTATATAGAAAAAACAACTTTGGCATGAGTTAAATAGAGCATTTTGATAATAATAAAAGTTGATCAAAATATATAAATATTTTACTAAACTAAATTAAGCAAATTTAAAACAACTCCCTGAATATATAAAAAATAAGTAGTTTCTAAATTACGGTTCCAATAAGAATTGCTTTCTAAGTTTTTCCAGTAAAAGTGTACGTCATACCAATATGTACTATAGGTGGCTTCAATGGGCTATACAAAAACTGTCATTTTTATTATGCTCATGCAACTATAGAATGTTCCATGTCATAGAATGTTCCATTAAATGTGTTTTTTTGAAACTACAAGGATCTCAAATCTTCGTAGTACAAAAAAGTGATTGTATTATAATAATATAATATAATTCCTGTACTAAGGTAATATAATTGCTGAGAGAGATCAGAAAGAAAATAGTTTAACTACATTTATAGCAGTTCAGTTTTCTTGCGAATATCCATTTATTCGACTATACATTATAAATTGATCAGACTATACCATATCAGAAACATAAATTACTTGTGAGTTATAGACTGAAATCAAAGAAAAATAATTTTGTTAATTTATTCAGATTTTAACTGAATCTCAGAGATCAATTTAACTTGTATATGATTAGAGCATATTTTTCGGAGTGTAACAATGTGTAGGATTGTTTTTCAAAATACGTGAAATACGTTAGAAAATATTCAGACACACAGCAACTATTGTCTCTCTCTAAGTGTGCGGAAGCTAGCGTAAAAAGCTTAGTGAAACATTCTGACAAGACGAATTGTTTTGTAAGCTTCGGACCAATTTATTTCTGTAGTTATATTAGATACTAGATGTTCTTTGTATTAACATATCTCATAATTCGCTACACATTATTAACAATAGCTTATATCTCCATCACAAACCGTAGAATGGACTGATGCCTAATGAAACTCCAGCTTCAAGCTAACTTATGTATTGTATTATTTTACATTCTTTTTAAATCCTAAAATAAAACTAAGATGGAAAAACAAATTTATTTGTGGAATGAGTTGATAATAGTGATGCAATAAAGCATTTATTTAAGGCAAGGCTTAAGGCAATTGAGACAGTTTTTAAGGCAAAGAGTTTTTTTAATTTCAATAAATTTGAACATAGATTAATCATTGATTTTCTTTTTGGATTTTACTTTCAATTTTCAAAGATTCAATTAAATTAATTACTTGATTGTGTGAAATACAAAATAATACATTCAAACATCTTTGAAGTTTTTGATATCAAATCATTAGAAAATGCATTCAGTGTTTCCATGCGGAATTCCTGTAAAATGACACTAAAATAATGGTACATCCAAACCCACTCGCTCAGTATCTTACCAGAACAAGGAACATATTCTGTCTCAAAAGATCAGATTTACCGGCATACCTTTAATGAAAATCAAAAATTAAGAATCTTAATGTTTTAGACAAGGAAAGTTTAGGTAATGATATGAACTTTGAATAAATATTTTTAGTATGTAAGATGTAAATAATTATTGTTAGACTTTTTAAGTGATTCAATAAATAAAAAAGAAATAAATATGTAAAATGAGTTACTTAATACCGGTGCAATAAGGTATTACTATATGTGAGGTTCAGTAACATTTATGATAGTAACACTATGAGTATAAAAATTCGCCAAGTAACGACTCTTTTAATTGTAAGTTAAAAAAATTTAAATTCATATTGATTTTTTAATTGGGCTCTATCACTTTTCAAAGATTGAATTGAAAAATATAATTGATAGATTATATTTACCATATATTTATTTAAAATATTATTTCAATTAATTGAATATTTGGCTGACCAAACAGCTGTTTTGAGTATTGCCAAATATCCATCTTCAGTGGTGTTGGAATTATTTCTTGTATTTTCTTATTTGTAAATAATTTTTGAGGCTGCAAGTACCAAGGGTTGAACTCGTACCATACCAAATTTAAAGCTCAGAGTCAGTGTTCATGAGCCAACTGAGCGAAAGCCGTAGTTGACTTGAATGTTCGCATTTTGGAGTTTTATTAATTTGTTGTGAAAGTTGATTAACAAAATCACTTGCTGTGTTATATTAGAACGAAATTATAAACCAGCTGTAGAATAATTGAATTAATTATATTTATTTTTGATTGATTTTGTGAAACATAGACTGAAACATTCGAACTCGTTTACTGGTGTAAGCACTAGGTATAATTAGGCTTTGTTAGGCTTGTTTAGGGATATTAAGACAATTTGTTATAGGGGTAGCACAATAGTTCTCAAAGATCTCTCACATAATTGACGAATTAATTGGTTTTATTATTGATTAGTATATTGTAGTGATGTTGTTGTGGCTAAAATCTATATTAATATCTATAATATAATATAATATCTATATCTATGTGCAGTGGCGGAGCTGGACCAGTTCTGGACGTCGGCGATATTAGAATTGCGAGGCCCCCTTTATAACCCAGTTGTAAAAGTAAATAATCAATTTAAAATAAACACAAATTAAAATAAATGAATTTTCCTATTTTTAGCTTCACTCAATTTTTTTTAAAATTATATCATAATTTGCGTCAGTTGCTATTTTCGCTTCAGTTTATAGAATTTCGAATGGAGATAGTCTCTCTTGGATCATCATACTTTTCTAGTATGTCTTAATCAATTTTAAATTTTAAAAGCTTCTTTCCGTCAGAGCTATACTGACTAGAACTGTGAACATGAATCTGGTTACTATATAAACATTCGGAAATATTTCGAATATGGTTAATGTCATTATCAAATCAAATTGATCAAAATATTTATTAAGTGCTTAGAATCCACAGTCGGTAACTTTTTGCGAGGCCCCTGGGGCGCGAGGCCGTCGGTGACGCCTAGCGACGCCACTGTCTATGTGCATCGTTAAAATTTATTTTAATTTTTCATTAAACTTAGTTCTTAGTAGGTACCCCCGTACATGTATTCATTCTTGATCTTGTATAATTTTGTTTATTTGCTCCAAAATATATTCACACTATTAAGTGTAATTGAGGATTTGTTTCGGACTAGTTTTTGCACAAAATATTTAAAATTAAACAAAACGTTTTAGTAATTTGATTTTTTTATCTGAAATTAACTTAACAACGGAAATTGCCATGAAATTATTCAGCAGCCTTGACATTTTGTTGGGAAACAATTTGTGCGAATTTTTAATGCTATAATAAAATTCTACAAAAATAATTATTTTTGTTATTGATATTGAATATTTTTAAGTTAATGGTTCTTATTTGGCTGAAGTCGTATAATGTAGATACTTTTATATTAATTTTTAATTAAAGAAAAATTATTTGAGGCACATAGTTGCATGCAACATATTCTGCGATATTTTACAGAATTATATATACACTATATTTTTTTTAATTAAGCATAATCTAAATTTTCTATTGTTAAAATTTAATATTAAAGTTATTAAGTAGAGTTTTTTATATAACATCAAATCTCAAGGTAATTTTTTATTGGATTGTACTATCGAAATTTATTTTAAATAAGAAATTTGCTTAATAATATAATTTAACTCAATTTGTATAATTATTTTTAGTTAAAAAATTTTTTTATTTTAATTTTGTGTTTTCTGTCATTACATTTTTGTGTTTGATATGCATAATGCGAAATGAAAAAGTAGAAGACAAAAGAGAAAAGGCTTAATGCCAATTCCAAACTGACTTATTTATTTGGAATATCCAGAAAGGCAGTTGCAACAGCAACTTGTCAGGATTATTTGTTTATGCCTTGAAATAAATGTGGCTTATAAAATTTCACTAAGCACCTCTGCAACTGCAACTGCAACTGCAACTGCATTGTCTTGTTTTTGTTTGAAATGCATTCTCGGTTTCAGTTGAACGAGCAAAGAAATGCAAGATGGGCGTTGCAGCCTGTCAATCTGTAAAATTCGCAAGCTGTCGACTTAAATCTTTTGCCGTGAATATCTTAAGACCTACCGGAATGTCAGAAATGTTTTTCCGCATACAAATTTGTTAAATTTTTATTACGGTTTATGTAAACGGATCTCATACATAAGGGCAAGAATAAAGGGAACTCTGGCAGACATGTACATATGTTGGCAATATTCTGAAGAATTTATGTTTGTTGTGATGTATAAATATCAACTATACTGACTATAAGTACTACGCGTACAAATTACTGAGGAAAAGATCGAACTTGTCTGTAGAATGTTCTATGAACACGCCTGGGTGTGATATGTTTTCACATTAAAAAAGATCAGTACTCGTATACGATATGTGAGCTATCAGATTCAAAAAGGAATAGCAATAGATGTACCCTAATTTTTTTTGGACTCTCACTGCGTTACTTATAAATAGTAGCATTACCATATGCGTATTTAAAAAATATTTGTTAAAGCATTTCTACGACTTTAATCTTCTAAGTAATTATAATTTCAATGATTGTCTATTTTACAAATAATTCTTACCTTAATCTCAGATTAATTTCTATAGCATTTTAAACATAGTTT